TCTAGTATCGTCATTGACCTCCTCCCCTCCTCTCCTACCACCCACTGCCAACCTTCCTTCCCCTCTTTACTTCCTCTCTGTTGTGCCTGAAGCTGTGTCGAGGAACCAAACCAAACACCAATCCAAGAGAGCCAAACGAACCAAATATCAATGCACAAACAAAACACCAATTTTAACGTGGTTCGGCAAGTTGCCTACGTCCACGGGGCAAGGGGGGATGGGGTTTTCACTAATAGAGAAAGAGTACAAACTGAGATTACAAATCACTCGAAGGAACAAACTAATCTCACCAACAAAACTCTTAATCTCTCCCAATAAAACCCTAAACAAATAGCTCAGAAAATACCTCTTTTCTGTGCTCCAAATAGTCCCCAATCAATGCTTAATCAAAGCCTAAACCAAGCCTAGGAAACCCTAAAAAACGTGTCTCTATTTAGCAAAACACAATCCGAAACTGATTGGGATTCTAAAAATGAGTATGCCACACCCTGCACCATAGGTGTGGCAGAGGGTGTGGTGCAGGACAGATTCTGCCACACCCTGCACCGTGGGTGTGGCAGAGGGTGTGGTGCAAGACAGATTCTACCACACCCATGGCAGACACCACACCAGGGTGTGGCCTCACATGCTGAGACCCAAATGAGAGTGTGAACACTCACCCCAAATGTCGATGTCGCTCACCAAATCGGCTGCATCAAAATGACTGCCTACGTATCCTTTGCCCAAGGAATCAAGCCTTCACGTAGTTCACCCAAACGGCCTCCAAAGGCCCTCAATCAAATAGAAAAGTCTGCAACTCTTCTCCAATATCACCAAACGATCTGCAACTGATAGTATTCCCAATGACCCCAAATTGAGACAAATCAAACACCTCCACCTGAGGTAAACCAATGGCCATATCCAAACTATATCTACCAGCTGCAACTGAATCCAAAACCAATCCATCATCTGCATCCAAAACCAAATGATCTCCAACCTGTGTCACCTTAGCTGGAATCCCAAATGACGCAGTATGATCTGGAGTATGTGGAGTAATCTCCACCCAACGTGGAGTAGCATCACTCTCCACCTGCTGCGATATCCAAATGACCTGATCAACACTCTCCACCTGCCGAGAGTCAAAAGTGACATACCTGCTCAGAACAAAATCAGAAGCTCCCAAACGATAATCAACTGAGCCTCCGAACCCCAAACTCGCAATCGGATCTAATCTCACATCCACGATGTGACCAAATGCTGGGTATCCAAATATCCGACGCGACCCAAAATCTGAAGCAGCTCCACCAGATCTAATAACTCCTAAAGCAGCAGTCGGCGACCTATGCATAAGATGACCCAAATATGTCGAAGCCCGCACACCAATGCCAATGCTCGACATCAAACGCCGATCCTCCTCCAGAAAGGAACGACCTATCGAAACTGTCATCTCATCTCGTCGCTCCAAAGTCTCCACACTAATGAAGTGTCTCCTATTACCGTGAGCTCGGCACAAACGCAAGAAAGGACCCTTATCAAATCTAGAACAACGAGTTACCTTTCTGCCAATACACTTCTTCCAATTGTTGTTGACTTCTAGGACTTTACACCAACGGGAACTAGTCGCGACCCAATAATGCCTAGAACAATCTTCAATTGCGGAAACTAAGATACGATTACCTCCCAATGATGCCTCCTTGGAAGGCCCCCAAATGCCTGACTGAACACCTCCAAAAAGACCCCTCGCTCGATGGATAGAAGTGCCAAACTCCACCACGGTCTCGCTCATCCTAATGTGCTCACAGGACTTCAATCTGCAGGTCATAGCACTCCTCAACAACCAATGCACGGTATTACCAATCATATACCCCAGCACCAAACAATGCCACAGTCTAGCCGAATCTGATGAAGTCGTCATCTCCCTATCAATCACCGTGCTCCCAAGCAAATAGTACAAATTGCTCCTTCTGACGCCCTTCATCACAATCATGGATCCAAATGTAACCTTCAAGCGTGCATCCGCCAAGGTCACCCTATAGCCTGCTGCCTCCAAAGCTCCAAGTGAAATGATGTTCTTCTTCAACTGAGGAACGAACCTCACTCCAACCAACTCCCGAATCACCCCGTCACTCATCCTGATCCGAACGGTACCGATACCACCAATAGAGCATTTGTGATCATTCCCCATGAGCACGAAATCCCCTCTTTCCAACTCCTG